AATTACTTTATTCACAATAATATCATCAAATATACTATGTAATATCATAGGCTGACTGACCTATCTTCCCTCAGAATCGTTTTTCTTATATACAATGATATTATATCATTGAATTCAAATTTAACACCATCCATTACAGTGACCCACTTGTAACCTACTGTACAGCAGAGAGACACCCACTTGTCCACCTTTTTTGGTTTGTCTGATCATGCTAATATTAATAATTATACTATTGCTAAGTAAGCGGTTTTGTGACTTTTGATTACAAACATAGCTACTTTTAAAGTGTCCACATATTTCGATATTTTTGAGTTTTTAATGCGTGTTTTAGTGTCGATCTGGCTCATGATCGGCACAGTAATTTTGAATGAACAAAGACGCCCCTACAAACTTTTTCGAAAATCTGCTATTTAAATTAAAAACAATTTCCAAATTTAAAACGACTTATTATTATAATTATTATTAAAAAAAAAAAAATTAAAAAAAAACTGCAACTTCTAATACAACAATTTGTATACACATAAAATAGAAAAAATTCAATTATCATAATTAGAAGAAATATCTAAAGTCCCACTCACGAAACTAAGTGATTTAGTTAGACATTTTCCCATTTCGCTAAGGGCACCCCATATTGAAAAATGTCCTAGCAATGACTGGAAAGCAGAACGGGACAGACCGACACTGCAGGTTTCTTTCGTAATTTAAACGGTATATAAGTATTTTACTTGTAATACATATTATGTTAGGTATAGATTAATAATTATATATTGAACGCAAAAACAAGGTTTAATGTTAATTATTTTATTAGTCAGAATGACATTAATAATTACATATCAATTTCTGTTTATTTGGGCTAGGCACAAGATCAGTTGAAAATAAATGATATTAAATATTATTGGGTAGCGCGAATCCATACGATATTTTTTACATGTAAACCAAATATAGAAATATAGCATACAACCAAATAAGAATTATAGTACCAATAAATATTTATTTTAATACGCTATTCGAATCGACAATTTAATAAACAATTAAATATTAAAATTATTATTTCCCAATATTTATAAGCTTAAAAAATATTTTAAATTGTATTATATCAATCAATACCTACGTCTTATATTTTTATACATAAATAGTATAATACATATAATTTTTGAATGATTTAAAATAAAATCAGTTTAATACCTATAATCGATTTATAAGTACCTATCAATATTTGTTCCAATCGCCTACCCACGTACAATGGTAATTATTAGTGGTATTAGATTCTGTTGTCTCTGGTAAAATTTGCAATGGAATAGCCTCGGGAATCAATTTGTCGTCGTCTGCGATTTGTGAAATCAAAATGATGTCACTAATGCTGTTTTCATTGTTCTCGAAGTCACAGGGTCGTTTTGAAAATTTTCCAATCGAAACTATTACGTTCGTAGCGGCCCATCCGTATAAGCCGTAAAAACAAATAATAATTATCATAATGGCGTAAACGTACACATAATTGACAATAAGAAACGAAATCGGTGATTTTATAGGCGGAGTCGAATCGGTTCTGTTTTCATCATTTCTGTTTGATACCTGGATACAAAACGCCCAAGTACTTACATTAGTTATTTTGTTTTGTTATAATATAAATGTCGTAGGTAATCGATGCTCACTAAATTGTTAGTAAAATTATCACAGTGCACGTGGTATAATCGGTATAATGGAATGTATTTCGTAAAAACAAAAAAGATAATCAAAAACATTACAACTACAATTGCAAATGACTGAAGTACATTCATTTTATTGTTCATTTTAACGTTTGTTATGTTTGTACAACACTGTTTTATTTACATTTCATCGTAGCCAATAAGTAAAAAAAAAAGAAGGTTTTTATCAAAATAATAATAACAAAAATAATGATGGTAAAACGTCATAATGTGATCCGAATATTGAAGGTTAATACATTTTAATAGAAATTTATAATTACCACGAACAATTTTTTATTTAAATTAATAACCTGCCGCAATGACACAAACGCGCACCTAATCATTAAAATTCCCCTAGGGCCTATTAATGCACATAGGTTAATTAACCTACAGTAATATGTCACATAAAAAATGTAGCGTTTTATGAGTCACCAACAGCAGTGGAAGTCACGCTAGGAAATTCACCTATGTGGAAATCTTTTTTACCAGGAAGAAAAACAAAAACAGAGGGTTTACTGTTGATTACCTACACAGTGACTTTTTAGCGGCCTCGTGCTGCGCGGAAAATACTTGTCTAGACAATATGACATTATTTTGTTTTTCGATTAAAATGATTTAAAAAATGAAAATAACGCATAAAAATAAGTACTGTTGCAGCGCTTTTCCTTTAATATGGACCGTCTACAGTAGTAGGCTGATAAGAAGTTTTGCCACTCTGCTTCCAAAAAAGCAACCAAAAACGAATTTGTGACTTCACGTCGTCACACGTTTGTCGCGTGCAAAGCTGCTCCAGCTTTGCAGCGATTACTTTTGTTGTACGCAGACACCTGTGGAATAGTCTTTGAAGCCACGGACCCCGAGTTTATGAGCAAAAAAATAATATTTAATGATTACATTTTTTACGCGATGTAGGTAATTAAATTCACACATTTATTGCACAACAGTTTATTTTTTTATTACAAACCATACAAAAATATCTATAATACCTAGTGGAATAAAAAATTAATTACTTAGGTAATTAATTCCAAGGCTGATAATGTTGCGTAATAAAGTTTCGATATTTCAGTGTCGATATACTGAGTAGTACTTTTAACCGCAGCACGGAATCAGCTATATTTTGCAAACAGTTTCTTACTTATCCTTAATTATGTACATACTAAAGCAGAAAAAGCTTTTTCACAGAGGTATTTTAATATTTTACAGTGGGAAATGGTATTACAACTTTCAGACTCTGAAATTCAGAGCCTTATTTGATTACGTGTTTTGTGTTTAGGTGTATATTTTAATATTTTTTACATAGTACTTATATACGACTATACAAATATGCTTATACACGCATATTGTGTGAAAGAAAGACGATATAATATAGCATCGCGGACCCTTGACATGAGTTTTACGGACTGCCGCGGACCACGGGTTAATAACCACTCTAATAATGTACAATATTTTCTTTCGATAGTTATATAATTACACACTTTACAGTCTCGTTAATCACTTGAAATATATAACTACTACTATCAGTTATCACTGCAATATAATAATATTATAATACATTGTGTCCGTAATAAAGCACCGAATCTTAAGTTGACAGCATATATATTGTTGTCACGATATGGTTGATACTTGCAGGTTATCATGGGATTATTATTTTCGTTATTCGTTTATTAATCCGTACTTAAAACGTTTTTTTTTTTATCGTAAAGTGTTATTTGATTTTGATTATATCCATTATGGAGCAAATTAGCGTGTTATCGCTCATTGCGTGACAACCAGGAATGATGATCTTACGCTATGAGATTTCTATTCGCTGGGATTTCTGAAATCGAAAGTGTACGTAAACAAACCACGAACGATTCTCAGAGATTCTGGAATCTTCTTTTTTAAAGTGGTTGTTGACTTACAATTTACACTCAACTTTTTCTTTTTAATTCCAGTAATGTACCAAACATATTTTTATGAGGAAATTGTATTTCATTTTTAAGCTTTTTGACCAAACGAAAACATTCTTACTGACATTTATAGAAGAAAAAAAAACTAAAACAATTTAAAAATTTAAAAAGTCTCTAAATAGCTCAAATGAGTTGATTTATTTTTTGAAAACTACACCATGACCATTGATTACACATAGACCCTAGTATTATGTAGAATATTAATATCTACATTGTACTATGTATAATTATTGCCATGATGTATAGAAAATGCTATTAGGTACAATAATTTGGTTAAAATTTGAGATTATTCGGTTATTCGTTGTATTGAATTATTATTTATTTATAAGAAAATCGATTTTGTTGAAAACTGGTTTCGAGTAATACAAATTGTCCTAAAATCATTAGAATTATCACTCCACCCAGAATCTAAAATCAATAGTTTACTTTTATATACTATCTCATATTCTTTTCAGATACCTACTTATTATACTGGTATCTATATAACCACAATGGTATGTTTATAAAAGTGAATAGAAAAATTGCAACATTTTTTGTGTCTATATAGTTATCTTGGTAACTTAATATGAATCATAATTTATTACTAATACAACTCTATAATCAGTATAATCAATGCTGATACAATCCAGTATTGTAAAATGAAAGTATCACGGCGTCGTGAATAGGCAACTAAATGTTCGACTACGGTCGTTTGTTTATGGAAGAGAATTAAATTGTCACCATGAACACATTTAGCACTATTGATTCTCAGGATCCATTTTTTAATACTATTTTGAAAATAATTTTAGTTACTGCAATAATTTTAAGTAGGGGTAGGTAATATAATAACAGATATTAGTTTGAATTATGAAAAAGTCCAAACACTAATCTCTACCATGTAATAGTGTAAGATACGCGAAAAACTTATTTTCTCTCAACTCTCAATTTATTTCGTGAGATATATTATAATATATTGTTATTACTTATTACCAATCAATAATAATATTATAGGTACCTATTTTAATCCCTACAAAAAGATGCATCAACAATTATCAACTAAAATATAATCCAATTTGTTACATTATACTTAACTCTATACTTTGTATTTTAATTAGTATTACCTACCTATGTAAACACATTATTAATTAATGTTAATTTTTTGTAAAACCACATAGATATATATAAGGTAAAATAGTGTTAAAAAATTAACGTCATGGATGATCAATGTCATGGATTTATTTAAATATTTTATAATATAATATATTTGTTGAAAATGAAATAATAAAAATGATAAACATGAACCAAAAATTAAAAAGGTATAAGACTTAAAATTAAAAAAAATTATATGCGTAATAACAATAGTATAACGTTTCAACGAGACTTAAAATCATTTAGGATCAATGCAATAACCCAAGCTTTCCATTTCTGAAACAAAAAAATAATATTTTATTATTATTATGTATTATTGTACACCATAAAATATTAGAAATCATCAAATTAACATTTAATATATTTAACATTTAAATAAAAACTACGTCGGTAAGATATATTTTCTAAGATTTATGTTCAACGATGCAACTTCTGACAATATTTTTAGTCGTATGATCAATATTCAAACATCAGAACTATATTAAAATATAATACAATATGAACTGTCTTTAAATTAATAAATCTAATCGCATTAAATAACACATATTTATACGTAAGTTTGACAGCGTGCCGGTAGTATCAACTGATGACGATTATTACAAAAACGTCACACTGCATGTCACACGTGCATCTGTCATATTTAGTTTAAATTACGTACCTACTCTTTACCCTCTGAACTAATAAAGTTTACAGTGCCATAGTGTGTAGTACAATGATTGACGGCAAAAGAGTCGTATAGTTTCATTATACTCTCTAGGATTTTTTTTTTTAAGCACAATGCAAAATTACAATATCGTGTCGCCACAACGGACAAAGTAGGTATATCAACTATATCTTTTTAAATCGATTAAATAAAATATATTCATTTTATTATATGAGTGCCAAGGTAGTTTTCCTCTAAATTATCGAATTTACGTCCTCGATACGCTCTCACCACTGGGATAAATGTAATTTCAACAACGACTGAGTTACCGAGATAAATCCAACACCCTCCAGAATATATATTATGTACTCATATACTTATATTTTTACGTAATAATCAATACGTATATTTTTGTATACACTGTACATTTTATGTATTATGGCACATGGCACACCAATATAACTTCAAATTATCCAACGATAACCATACTTAATACGTTAACAACACAATAATATCATAAGTATTTCGAAATGACTAAAAAGTAGAATATAACATAATATTATATAAGATTAACCAAACTAATTTCATTGCCTAATTTCAAATAGGTAATTGTCTTTTTTTTTTAGAAAATAACGTGTTATTGGTTTCATGCTGATTATAAATGCTTTATTCGAAGACGTTTACATAATATAAGTCTGTATTAAGTAAAAATAATACACAACACGCGTACTATTAAGTATTAGTAAATATTTATTACATTTACTTATGCTTTTTCCTTTAGGTAGTTAATTTACCGTACCCAATTTAGCCTGACTTCGACATAGGCACAACTATCTACGCAACAACATAGATGTCATTCAAACTGTTATAATAATTACTATCATAAAACGTACACAATTAAGTTTCCAAGCTTTATAAGGTCAATCGACAAACTGTTATTATCGTGTTATTGTATGTACCTACCTTTTACTACTGCGGCATTGTTCTTCAAATTAATAAACCAATGTTGATAAGGATAATTCGGACGCACTCCACCGTATACTTTTGGCAAATATTCCGGATCGATGTGTTTGTGCAGAGAGTCCATATTTTTACCGTGGAAAAATAACTGTAAACATACAACACATAAAATTATTTAATAATACCAATAAAGTATATAAATCATAAAATATTTTATGTACAGAATGGTAATATATATATATAAAAAAAAATACTATAAAAAGTTCAAATAGACAAACTGAAACTTTTTGTAAATAGTAAAGAAAATGTATTGAATAACTTGCAATATCCCAATATTATATTTACATTGTATTATTTACGAATGCCTACAGTTTGTATTATATAACACATTTATAATATAATTATGGTGATTAAAAATTAAAAACTAAATAATAATTTATAATTAATCCAAAACATTTTTTAGTTAAATAACGACAACACAGATATTTTTTTTAATGCGTAATCAATTATACTGAATCATTGTTGTACGGTGCAGCTCAAGTATCATCATCAGTTTTACCTACGATACTCGGACAAGCCCTGCAGTTTACTTTTACTAAACTCAAGAAAATATATTATCATGGCAATATCGATTGTTCGCAATTATATTATGTTTACGATGCAAGTCGAATCATCGCTTCTACTGTTATAATAATAATTTTTGGGATACAACACAACATGATTGCAGTATATTTCAACCGTATGACAGAATATTTAGATTTAGCTTTTTTCCAGCATATAAAAAATAGTATATAGTACGTACCATTTCGTTATAACGCTTGCCCAAAAACGGCTTAAAGAGATTGAACGCCGTTTCGAACACCCACGACTCGTTGATTATGTGAATCGCGTACGTTTTCATCGGTATGCTATACTGTGGGACGGATAAAAATAATAATATATGACGTATATTGCACAACATGGTTATAATAATAATATGATGCCATGGCGTTATTTATTATTTTTTCGCCGACAAGGGTAAAAGCAATCAAAAATCAACATACGACGATGAGGTCGAAAATCGTAGAAACGACTTTTGGAGTGATTTGGTAAGCGTGCTGAAGCGTGAATCCGTTCATATCGAATATGACCACCCCTCCGAGTATTTGAGCTATCGGTTCTAAAATTCCAAGCTCTAACGTGGCCAGCGATGCTTTAAGTATTTCGTTCATGTCGAAGTCGTTGGTGTCCCAATTACCTGAGAACATAATAACAAGTTAACGAATCAAATATTTTACGAAACGTCAATTAACCGAGAGCATAAGGGTGTAAATATTATTGTTTATCGCGTTCCAATGATAATTAGGTTAACCTACAATTTTCGTTCTGTGAAATATATTGCACTGTGAAACGTAAGTATCACGGAACAATAAATCAGTTAAATATAACTCAAAGAAATAAAGCAACCATACAAATATTGTGTTAATATTAATTATTATTAACCGTCAAAATTATTGATAAAAGTATAGACGAATAGGTAAGTACAATACATGACTCTATATGACGTGTATTGTAAAATATACTACAATGTAGTTAATGCAACTATTGGAAGAGACTTGGACGGAATCCTAATTATTTATCAGGTATTTACTATCTATATAAAAATGTGCTTTGAAGTTTTAATAGTTTTCAATACTCTTTTAATTTTTCATCTACGTATTTACATTTGCATTATATATGCGTAGACTTATTGCTAGAATTAAACAAAATTCCTTAGCGATTTCAAGTTGATAATACCTATCTATAATAATCAGATACGTTTGTAAATTATAAAATGTGGTTTTTATTTTTATTGTTTGGTTAAGATAAGCAGTTTCTATTTTAGATTCTGAGCGGAGCGAGGAAGCTAGTGGTTTTACAATGGTGTTTATTTTTTTTTTTATATATATCTGTATACCTGTATACAAAATTTCTACGAGAATTAGTACTTCGATTTCAATATACAGTACCTTCTCTTTTAGCAAATTGGATCAATATGGTACTTTTAAAGAGGTCATTTTTCGATTTTATCAATAGTTATATAATGCCACGAGAAAAACCACCAAAAAATTACGAAAAACCGCTAACAATGGGATTTTAATTTCTAACGCTTTGTTTATCACTATTATAGAAACGAATAAAAAATAATATTATAATATTAACTCAACTTACATGATATAATAAATAATAACAATATAAAATATCCAGACTGAAAAAACCGTCTCCACTCAGAATCGTTTTTCTTATACAATGATATATTATCATTGAATTATAGTTTAATACAATCCATTATACAATAACCCACTTGTAACCTACTGTAAAGCAGAGTGACATCCACTTACCCGTTTTTTTATTTTTGTATTTATTGAGAAAAATTATTTTAACAGAAAGACACGTTGAATTTTAAAAACAGTAAAATTATTTAAGTAAAAAAAAAAATCTCGGTAATATCTGCAATGATACAATTAAAATTTATAAATTAATCAAGGAATATAAATAATCAACATAGTGATGAAGCGAATAATGGCAATAAATTAGTGATAGCTATAACAATGGAAACGATTTTTCTGTTTTTAAACATTAAATGTTAATATTTTTAAAAATTAAGATTATATTTGTTTTATAGGTATATATTATATATATATATATATATATATACATTTATTTTAAATTTAAAAAGATTAAAACAAAAAATGTAAAAATAGAAATAACATAATTTAATAAATAATTTTACTAAAAGGCTAATACAACTATACCTATTTTATGTATGATGTAACATAAAACGTATAACCAATTTAGAGGTACCTATATAATTTTAAAAAATATATTAACATAATGTGTAATTTTATTTATTAAAGTTTTATAGTTGAAAGAAAAAAAAATTCAAAATTTTTAAGGCTGATATTTTTTATTTTATTTTATTGGTCAGTAAAATTTTATAAAATATTATTCAAAATCCATAAAAAAAAAAAAAAAAACGATAAATTAAACAAAGGTGGAATTTCAATATTTTTTATATTGCAAATTATCTTTATGTAGGTACCTAGCCATCATAAAAATATATCATGTCAAACTGCATACAAATACCTACAAATATGGTGATATTAAGTCCACAATCGTTAAGATTAAAGTTCATAGAAGATTAATAATTGTTATTATAAACCTAATAAAAACGAAGTATATTTATTGGACATCTTCATATAGGCACCTAGTAAATGTGAAAATGTGTTTGGAAATAGGTGAGTGTATAAAATGTTAATAAATCTGTGAAATGTCGACTTCATTATAATTTATAACTGTTGTGTTATTATTGTATATTATTCTCACGTTTTTGAAGTTCAGTTTCAGTATTCAAGAATTATTTGAATATTTATATTTTTAACTTATAAAATGAATAATATTAAAATAAGAACAATTAACTTGCAAGTTTGCAAGTTTGCAATTTCTTCGTTTTTGAGAAAGTTAAGTAAGACTGTAATGAAGTATAAATGAATTGAATTATTTTTAATTAGTAATATAGGTTAAAGATTTCATATACATTTTAATTATTCAGAATAAACCATATATTATGGTCACACTACTTGCACAACTCATATAGTTATGCCACTGAATTCTTTGCAAAGAACACGGTTAATTAAAAATTAAAACAACTAACAAATAAATGCTAAAATGTAGTCAAAAGGTTTTGGCGAAAATTATTTATTTATCGTAAAGTCAGTTTGATGAACTTTAAATTACGCAAGTAGTTAATAATTCCAATTATAGTTGCATCAACTACAAACTCACAAGAGGGCAAAACTTATAATATTTTAATCCCTTCGCATATTTTTCCGACAGCAAAGCAGCGTAGGTATTAATGACTAATGAGTACCTATACATTACTTGCAAAAGAATTATTAAAGTCGCAATAGACTTTAAATACCATTAGAAAACGCTGTTAGATTGTCCACTATTAAATTCCTCTACACTACTGCTAATAAACGTGTATAATTTTACTAGGAGTATAATGTTACTAGGAATTTACACTTTGCTGATTTATAATAAATAGGTAGGTACAATATAAATTTTAACCACACATATTTCGGTGTAACGACATTATAATTTGTACATTTGAACTTCAAAGGTAAAATAATATAATTTTTAAATTTTTTATTTGAATATTTAGCCACTAAATTGTTATTTGATTATTGTTTCGACACTTGTTGATTTATTATTATACAACTTGTTGTTATTGTTGTGACTATACTGCGATGATAAAAAATAAGTTAGATTTATTATTACCATAAATGTACCTACGTTTCATGTGAATATGTGATAATAACTAATTGTATTGTTATATTAAATTATTTATTTATATCAAAACATGTTTAGTGCTAACACTTGAAACGTACGCCTATAAAGTTACTATATAGATACTCGTAAAATGTAATACCCACGAAGATGATTTTACTTATTGTCTTTCATTTCATGAATTATGTACTTATTCAAGTACAATAATTGTTTATTTATGCATTATAAGGTTCCAAACAGACAAAGAGACCTTCATAGAATTGATATAATTATTATTATATTACCTACCTATATATTATATTATTATCATTTGATGAAAGACGTATATTTATTATAATAGTGCGCAAAGATTAATGACTATTCACGTCACTGCAGGTTGCACTTTGTTCTACATTAATTATTATTATCTGCATGTACACCGAGGCAAAGGACCCTCGAAGGTTATCACTGTTGCCTGCAGATTTTCAACTTGTTCCTTTGTTGTTAGTTGATATGCATTTAGACATGGGTAAATAGTGTGGTACCCCCTCCCAAATTTAATCAATTTAAATCATTGCGTCATACGATTAATTATTGTCTTAATTATTAAAGCAAGGTGTATTTCATATTTTTTAATATACACCATCTTTGATAAGTTCTTCGGGAGGAATAGACTTCTAAAGTTCTAAACAGTATAGGTATCTGGTATATTATATTTCGTACCTACCAATCCACGATAAACCATTGTATTAATATAAAATAATTAATATAAACTGTGTGCGCCTACGTACGTAGGTATAGGTAAATAACCAGGACACACAAGGAAATAAGAGATAACTTATTAAGATGAAAAAATTAATTAGATTTAGATTTAAAATTTTGGTTAAGCTATGTTTTAAATTATTTTGATAGTTCAAAAATCATAAAATGATATAATCTTTCTTTGTTGAAACACTGTAACAATGTAACATGTTATAAAATATTGAATTATTTACATGGATAATATTATATTCATAAAGAAAAAAAAATATTATTACTGATTTCACAAATACCTAGACGTAAGCTAGGTATTTTTTTTAAATATTTAAAAAATAAGTAATGCTAAAGCTTTGTCGTCTGCAGATATGGTATAAGCACCTGCAACTTTAAATTTTAAATGTAATTCTAAACATCATTAAAAATCATATAAAAGAGATAAAACATAACTATATAAATAAGTATATAGGTACAACACAGATATATCAACCGACGTTGATGTAGGTAATTACTGTTTACATCAAATACGTTTTTCCAAGGATTTGAAAATGTATATTATTCACTATTCAGTAACTATACGTTGTACTGTAACGAACGTTGTTTTTATGAATTCTACAATTTCTTTAATAAACAATTATTTTTGCCCAATGTAGTATAATTTTATTCAGTTTAAAAATGTCCTTTATGACTTTATTACGCATCGCCATATAGGAAAATGTTTATTTTTTTCGTGCGCTTAGTTTCAATTTTATACTGATTGAGCATAAAAACATTTTTTTTTATCTTTTTTTACTTTTCTCATATTAAAATACATTTAGGTACAAAAATGTACTAATCTTTTTCATGACACAATACCTACTTCTTAGAGTACCTATTTATTTAAAATTAAAATAGGTAATACAAGGATTTAATATATTATAGATTTAATAGTTATTGAAAATTAAAATAAGTAATACAAGGATTTAATATATTATAGATATAATGTTAGGTTAGTTGGCTGTATACTGTTTTATAAATAAGGTTATGTACCTACTTATATAATAAATATTTATGAATATTGGACCTAGTTAAGAAACATAAATTATAAAATATAATTAGTATATATTATTTAGGGTTTAGTATGAGTAAGTTGAAAACAAATACAAATCATAAATAGTATATAATACTACATGCATATTTCTCCTACCGTTATAGCAGTAAGTTTTAGAATTTTTCCTATTAACTGCCAACTGTATATAAAATTAATATTATATAGTTCCAGCTTATTTAGCAAAAGTCATCTTAGTTCAGTTGGCACCACAATCACATTATATACCACATACACCTATATTGATTTAACGTAATATATTGACTATCCAAATTACGTTTTGTTACAGTCAATGATAATATCGATGAGGACTATAAAAATGTATGTTTTATACATATATTCATACATTATATTATAACAGTATAGGTATATAATATCGTGTGCAAGTATACATTCTTCTCTCTTGAATTTATTGTTAATTAATCATTTTTAAAAAAACGTGTGACACACTAACACTATCCATCATACACGATGAATATGAAAAGTAAGCCGTTTCCATTTACAGTGGCCAGTGTTTGTACAGTAAAAAATACAAATTGGGTCAAATTTTAAGTAATAAAAAGCTTGTTATAAAATTGTACATACCTAATTTATAAATTAAAATTCGTCTGCCTGTCTGTTCTTTATAAGGAAGAACGCTTAGAACTTCTGAATCGGCTATGAAAGACAAATCTAATGGGTTTATTGTATAGTAATCTGGATGACTTTCTCTAAATCTGTAGTAATTCACGAACTGTAACAAAAAAGCAAAAAACAATAATAGGTTAGTATATAGAATAATATGTAACAAATTATTACAATTAAATATGGATTAACCACTCTCTCTACAAAAAAAAAAAAAAAAAATAGTTAAATAAATATTAAAAATAAATCGACCAATTATAGGTACTACGTAATAGTAAAGTACAATTATTCCGTAAAAATAAATTAATTAATTAAAAAAGCTAAAAATCAAACTATTGAATGAGTACAGGTACCTATAACTGAATACTGTTATTTGATAGAAAGTTCAAAAATCCAATAATACTGCACTGATTCAGTGATTTAAATCAAAATATTATAATTTTGTGTTGTGTCTACCAAAACGTAGGTATTACATCAGCATCGGAATGGCAGGGTAAAAATAAAATTAAAACATAATATCTATTTTTGGCAGATAATAATATAAAAAAGCCTCTTGCAAAAGTAGGTACATAATTCGGGATTCTTTATAAACCTCATGCATAATATGTTTAATATGATAAGTATAAATTTACTTATCGACATATCAATCGTTAAGCCAAATTATAACGAACCATTCAATTTTGCTCAAAATGCATTATATTATTGTACCATGAAAATTGTAATCAATCCCAAATATGAGTGATTGCGGTTTACATTGAACGATAATTTTGACCACAATTAAAAATAAAAAGCTAGGTGTAGTATACATTGAGTAGTGAGTACATATTTATGTAATATATATCTATATATCTAATATATATAAATCTATATAGGTAATATTTTGTATTAATTACAAGACGCAGTTGCGTATATTTTACCAAACCAATCGCATTAAGTATATCTATAAGGCACACAAAATATGGTTTTTTTCAAAACTAATTATGTGTACATTTCATTGGTTACTATAATAGCTTACTATGTTTTGAATGTTTCGATTATATTAGATTAAATTAATAATTTAAGCCAATTATGATATCGAACAATCCGTTACTAATGAAATTCCCTTTTCGCCGCCTCCGGCTTCGTAATTATTTCACACACATTTCGCTTTAACTAACACAATAACATACGTGTAAATCAGTAAAACATAACCAATGTGTACCACACTACCACTACTATATTTGCATAGGTATTTAATTTATATTATCTTAATATTTTATCAAGGAAATTTAGAGTATTTACCAAGATTTTTAAACATAGAACTATAGAAGTAAAATAAACTAATTATGTAACAACAATAAGCATAATGAAATCGCACAATGTATAAAAATGTGTATAATATTATATATGGTGTGTAAAATCTAAATAATAACCTATAAACTGTATGAGTACAATAACAATTATTATTTATCATTAATATTTAATAAAACTTTAATCTGCAAAGTATTTAAACAGCCTAAATAATGTTTTCTGACAACTACTTCCTCCTAATTAGTAATAACATGTATTTAAGACAAGAAAAAGTTTGAAAAACAATCATGACTAAATATGATGTAAAATACAAAAATAAAAATGGTCTTTTGTTAGTGTTTATTAAAAAACTGAATGCAACATCTTCAAAATGTATAAAAGAAAAAGTTAGAACATTATAAGTCCGCTGGGGCTGCTCGACACTATCGCGTGCGGTGCCTATTCACGAACTACATTAGAGCGGCAAAACCAAGGTCTGTGTTCATTTGGGAATAATAAACAACCAAAACCAGTTGTGATAACTATATATTTTGATAATATTTATTAAATTTTAAATTTTAATCATATTTTAGACTTTAGTACTTTATTATTAAGTATTTTAATAATTATATTATATATTTAATATTTATACTATTTTAATATAATAATATATTATAATATAGTACCTATAATATACTGATTTTATTTAAAGTTAAATATAGCAGAAACCTTTTAAGTATTATAACAAAACCTTAACATTAAAATAAAAAATATTTTCATGATAATTAATGGAAAAAACAATGTTCAAACTATTATATTATCAATATTTTTTTTGTTGCAGAAAATATTTGCTCCAATTTTCAACATTTAAAGTGGATTCTGGTATGTAGGAAACTTGTATTTAGTTGGTACTTTAGAGATAAAATTATAGGTGAATATTTACGCAACACCTACCGTTTTGAAACAAAATCAATTTATTGTTATTATTGTAAGTGCCTAATTCAGAAAAGAATAACCATAAACTTTTATTTTTCACCAAATATTTTCTAGTCATGATATAATTTCAAAAATATTTTTTCTTTACTTATCTAACTTGTCCAATTAATAAGTTACAAGGATAGGTGTGTTACAATTTCAAACTTTTTGACTTATAAACAAAAATATTATTATACAAACAAGCTGGAAAGTGGATGTCGCTCTACAATTAACTGTGCAACAGTAGGTTAGGTACAAGCGAATCACTGTAATGGATGATGTTAATTGTTAAATGTTTTAATTCAATGATATAAATCATAGATCATTGTATATGAATAACGGTTCTGAGCGAAGACGGTCTGTCAGAATATAATATTACTAAGTAAGTATATTTTATGATATTATTGGGATTAAAGTAATTAATTTTAGTATTTTAGTAAATACTAGTAGGTTAAATTCATTTTTGCCAAAATAATTACATTTGAAAATGTCATTGTGTGTATAAAATATAATAATATACTCTAAAAGTTTCATATATTTTTAAATTATAACAAAATAACTAAAAACGTTATTCTTGGTTTTAATATGTAATTTCATCCGAATTTTATTTAAAATGTCCGTAAAAAATAACTGTTTTTTTTCTTTGATTTCATTATGAACTATTTATGAGAATCATTATTTTAAATTCAATTCTTAGCTATAAAAATAGAACATTTTATAATTTTTTAATTACAATTATTGATAATTTTCGAGATTTTGATAAATGTTGTTAAAATTCGAACTTTAAATACTTATAAAAAAAATTGTGCATTTTTATTTTCAATATTTTTCAACTGCTATTGTAACAATATACCAGGAACCTTGTATTACATTTTAAAGCTTTTTAACCTAACAAATACAATTTTATTGACATTTATAGAAAAAACCTAAAAAAATTGGAAATAAAAAAATTCCATTAAACAGCTCAAAACAAGTCAAAATATTTTGAAAATTTTATCAAATATAGGAATTGATAAATTAAACATATGATATAAATCTCTGAAAAGTCCGTGTAAAAAGTCCGTTTACAGTTCAAAATAAATCAATATTTTTTGAAAATGTTATCGTGTATAGAAAATGCTAGTATAAACAATCAGTGAAAATGTCATGTCGGTCACTATACGGCCATTTGTTTTAGAGTATACTAAAAATCAAAATCGATTTAGTCAAAAACAAATTTTGTATAAATTTTCCTATTTTTCCTTAATTTTTCTTTTGTTTTTCACGGCACTTTTGAAAACTGCTGGAAAATTTACCAACAAGATTCACTTTCCTATCAGAAAATATACTGTTGAAGAAAATCTAAGCACTTTTACTGTCCTAAAAGGTGATGACAAACACACAAAAAAATAAAAAGCACACATCATTGGATCATTGTGAAATCAGAATCTAAAATCTTAAAAAATGTATAAAAGTCGAAAATTGCAAATATTTACAAATAGGATAAAAAGATCCAACTTGTTTAGAAAATAATGTTGGCGACTAGAAATTGATAATATAGACAAACAAATTTGTGATCAATTATTATTTTGACAATTATACCTACAACCTACTTAATGTCGATGCTTAGGTAATACCTACATTCAATAGCGTGTACCTCGGTATATATTTAGTTTTATAAATCCTATTTTAAACATTTCAAATATACCAAAATATGCAACTTATTTTAAATATTTATAATCATACATTTATTATATTCAAATATGGTCATACAAAACGTATAGGTATCTAGTAAAAAATATAAATCAACTAAAACTGAAAAGCTTATATTATAACTTAGATAATAAGTTATAGGTAGGTTTATACCGTTTAGTTAGGATGAATATTAATTATTGGAAAGACAATAATTTTTAATAAATTAAGTTTTTTTCATCAAATTCTGAATAAACTACTCATATTTATTGCATCAAACAATGTTTTTCGAGATAATAAACAAATCTCAAGTTATTAAAACTATTTAAACTAATAATTGCTTTTTCGTTCCAAACAGAATCACAGTATTTAATAATGAAAACTAATAATGTATTTTGCTTTAATTATATCAGTTATTCTTCACTATATCGACCAGAGGAATAGACTTGAAGTGTTTCAACAAACTCTTGACCTTTAAGAAATTATATTATAAACATTTTATTATGTTGGATGACTTGCTGCAGACTATACAGTTGTGATATTTTATACAAGTATATTAATGTACTTTAATAATTCTTGAAACAATTTATGGCTGTATTATAAAAAAATATATGAATTAATATTTCATGGTTAAATATTATTAATTCCTACAAAGAAAATAATACATAGGTGCATCTTTTTTTATTTTAATTGAATCAAGTGAAACGCCGCCTGCAGATTCAAATAATCATTTGTATTTTTTGTATATCAGCTTCATTTTAGTGCAACGTGTACCAGGTACCTACGCTACACAGTACTACATTCGATTTTTACACAACTTTTACTTTTACCTGTATACAATGCACACTTACGAATTTTAACATTATGTTCCGGTAATGCATGTGCATACTAATCTACAAGTCACGTAAAAAAGAATTTTACAAATGCTCAATGGCTTAACAAACTTCATAGTCATATTTAAAATTAAACTTTGGTTTAAGTATGAAAAATAGTTTTAGTAGCTATAAAAACGATGATATAAATATATTTCCATCTTAATATCTACACATTTGTATTATAAAATTACATTTTTTTAGTTTCATCATAATCAACCTCGAGTTTTTATATGAAATTCAAGGTTGTTTGAAATGTTAAACATAACATACTTAATTAATGTTATAAAATATTCGCTGACATATAGTAATACTGTCAATC